GAATTGAACGGTATCTCTGGGCCCGGTGTTCCTTCCCGGCTGAAACTCGTGGAAAGTGCTGCGCGCTCCGGTTCACGATACTCTATTCAGAGGGACGGAACAAGAGAGAGGAAGAAGAGTGGAGGAAGAGAGGCGGAAGAGAGGAAGACGGAGAGGAGCATTCGTCGAAGAAAGGCGTGCTCGCGAGGTTTTGGGATCTCTCGGTGGGACGCGCGTATCCCGATTATCTGCCGATCCTTATCCGTCGTCTCTCCCTGGTCGGATTCGGAAGTCCCATTCCTCCCGATACTGCCGATTGATCGCCGACATTCTTCTCATATGTTGGTTACTCGATGGACGTCGCGTATCCGTTCGGACCGTGCCGCGGTTGAAGTATCGTTCCCCGATTGCGAGTGCCAGTGAGTGGAATAGATCGAGCATCGGACGAAAGAATGAGGCACACGAACCTTAGAAGAACGCTCGTGCTACTGATCGTCGCGAACGCGGTTTACAGTCCAAGTAAGTGCCATTCATTATTCTCAATTTACCCTAGACGTCGATCAATCATTTCATTCCTATTAAGTATAGGCGAACGCGTACCAAAAGGCAGGAACTAGAAGAGTAAACGCGAAAATCTGTAATGGAAATGAAATGTTTGACGATCGGTTTACTCTTCGAGAAACAAGCTAACAAGGCTATCGAAGTTGGCATTTGCATTCCGAGAGTTCTCGCTTTAAAGCGTGGACACGTGGTTTCTGGAAAAGTCTTTTTTTACGAGCAAAACGCTTTCGAACGGGGCCGCGTGCGCGCGATTGTCGGCGCCGCCACACCGGTCTGCGATCGCAATTGTTCGCGCACAATTATGTAAATCATTTTAGCGGATCTTGGAAGAACTCAACGTTACCGAGTAACGGGCACGCTAACGATAAGACCGAGTAAGTCGGCGAATTAACATTGTAAAAATGATTCGTATCTTTCCGCGAATGATACGATCAATGCAACGTCACTAATGGTTCTCGGTAGAACACAAATCTCTTTCGCGGCTGATGATCGTTTATCCGAGGAATTCCATTCCTACCTAACCATTCTTTCGTTGAATTCTCCGTTTCCGAGTATTGTCGCGTTTCTGGCCATTGATCAAACAGCATTCAGTGTCTATTTATAACGGTGGCAGCCTCCGAACCCTTCACTTTTTTTCTTTCACTCGTTCATCAACGTCCGATCGCCTGACACGTATACGCACGATTTTTCGCGATCTACGATGCAATATGGCAAAGGAAGAGGCGTTATCCTCGTTATTGTTTTCAGCCTTACTTACGAACCGGAACAATTAACCGGTTGACCGGCACGGTGGTCACCGATGATCGATGCCTTCGAATTGCTCTAAAACAATTGGGACACTTAACCCCTTGACCTACGATGTCGTGTCAGAGTCGTGACGAAAATGTCCAAGCTATTGAATGTCGAATTAAAATGTTTAACCCTTTGCGAACGAAGATTCTCTAAAGTATACAGAACCTCCTGCAAATTTTGTCAATTAAGATAGATAGAGAATAAGGAAACTATACCGATTTCTTGTTTGGATAATGAAATAATGAAAGTTCGATCTCAGCAGTGTCGACATTCGTTCGCAAAGGGTTAACAGCGTAACCATGCAATAATGTAAGTCACGTTAAAGAAACGAGAAACGATCGAAGCCGAAGTTCTGACTACCGAAGTTCGGTGCACAAATATCGGCCGTGTGTCACAGGTTTTCCCGTGATTCACACCTCTCGCTCTCATCTCGAAGGAATTCGAACTTTATGCCCTCCCGTGAAAACCGATCCGATCCACGGTCGTTATTGCCCTGAGTCATTGCGAAGCCACCGCCCAGGAATCTTCGGTGGAAAAGCTATTCGGGTTACACGCGATTCGACGATGAAAATAGGAAAATTACATGGGAGAAAAATGAAAGATCAACTTTGATATGAAAGCGACGAGTCTCTGCGTCGGCAAACGGACACGGGAAACGCGGGGTAATGGTTCCCAGCTAACAATGCTATCTCGGAAACCTCGCGTTTACGCGAATCGATGTTGCAATCGTTAACGGAGGATTAAATATTCATTAATCCCCGACGACGGAATGTTCGCGATGTCGACGAACTCCGTTCTCGAAATCAAAAGCTTTACAGATAAGATTGCCGGCTAATGTTACCCGATAAACGAACGTAAACGTACACACGTGATTCATCGCGAATCGAATGTGCATATTTGTACGCATAAACAAATTTTCGAACGAAGCTTACACCAAGAGCTTCATCAACACAATTTTCCCAGTGAGAGGAGCAAAATTCCGATCGTTTTCCGCGTCCTAAGCTCGAACGCGCCACTACTCGAGTTAAATAAACGGGGAACCACCCCCGCCGGCTCTCGACGAACCTTTTCGAAACCCTTCAGCTCCGCTGAAACAGCCCCGACACCGCCGCCGATCGTTCTCCGAGATAATCGACGGTAAACTCGATTCAAAACTGTTGAAAGCGCGTCCATCCCTCTTTCTCTCTTTCTTCTGATCCCATCCCTCTTCAATAGGGGTTCTCGTGTCGAGACGCCGATGTTTCCCGATGTTTTCCGACATTTTCCGACGTTTCCCCGAGTTTTCCTGTCCGAAGTTTCACTTTTCCGGCCACCAGGAACCGGGACACGTGGGAACCGCTCCCGAAGAGGCGTCCTTTATTCCGTAACCGTTCGTTCCTCTGTCGGTCGGGAGTATTTTCGGAAATATCGACGCGGCGACGTCGCGAACCGGAGAGTTTCTCTCGGTTCTCGTTCGCCGTGGGTTCAATGTCGGCGAAACCACCGGAAACAAGGTAACATTCCTGGCCACCAGTCAATTTACACCTCGCCCACGGTAAAAAACGGCTTTCAGAAGATCATTAGGGGAGCGGGAGTCGAAAAAGTCCGTCTTATTCCAAGACCGACCGCAGCGAGGCTTATTCCGCTCTCCTCTAATCTCGAATTGTACCGCGGTAAGATCGAGCGTCGTCTCCCGAGGTGGAAGGACGAACCGGGGGACTCGTTCTTTTGGGTGGCGGTTGATGACGGTCCGTGTGAACTGGCGAAACGAAGGGACCAACGAGAATTGCCGTGATCTTCTGGAAACTGGCAATTACACCACAGTTCGGAAGACAAAGTGAGAGAAGGGGGATCGTTCTTCGAACATGAAGCTCCAGTCTCGGTTGTATCGAGGAATCGCCGGTTCTCGCAGCCGCGAATGGAAAATTTGAGCCTCGATCGAATCTAGACGCACAGGTTCTCCCTTGCTCGAGAGGCGACTCCCAGTTGCCAGACGATTTCATATAGGAAAATTATAAACTTTGGTATTTGCCATTAACCTTTGTGTACTGCAGCAATGCGTGAAGTATTGAAAGGAAGTGGCTTTGTTCCCTAATTTATGTGTGATTTCTTGTTAGATTCAATTTAAAGAATCTTCTCTACATCTAAGTAGAAAGTATAGAATTTTTCAAATGAAAAACTTTCGAGTGCAAAGGGTTAACTCTTTGACTACGGCAGACTTTGAGACACCAGTACCATACGGTAGAAATTCGGTTGCAACGTGCACTGAGAACGGTGAAACTTTTCAAGCGTTATCTCTAAGCGCCTGCAGCACCATAGGAGCATTTTTAAGCGCCTTTCGACGCCTACGGTATTACAAGCGCATGTTTTCTAAGCGCCCTTAAGCGCCAACGGTGGTTGAAGGCTTAACGCAAATAACGTTAGCAGCAACTCAGGTAATGAAATTCTCGCGGCGATCGAAGAGCCTCTCGTTCAGCCGAGGCCAGTTGGCGAAGGGAACAAACCCCTAAGGATTCTTTCATCTTCGTGGAAACGTGTTAATTAGAGGCCTATCGGAGGTCGAAAAAATGGTACGAGGCACCTGTTCCTTGATCAGCCGGTTTCGTCGCGATATTGCGATCATTAATCACGAATCTCGAGTGCGTCGCGCGTACTTCCCCCTGCACCTTGCGCTCGCGCGGGGGGAGGAAAGCGTACCGGTCTGCGAGGGAAGCCTGCTTACCTTTAAGCTCGCTGCGAGGGGGAAGCAATTTATCATCCGCCCGGTGACAGCCGTGCTATCAAAACCGCCGCCGCGATACTCGGACAAAATTCCCGGTCGTCTGCCACCGCCATCGAGCGTGTTGCCGAACGCGCGTTATTCTGCATTTTATAGTTTGTTTGTCGCGGAGAGTGATCCCTATCTCGATTCTACGACGCTTTCGATCGAACGTTCAGGCTCTCCGTTTCTGTTCGATGTTCCATCGACCGATGTATGATACGGAGCTCGAAATTCAGACGAGCGTGCTCGGTGCAGCAAACGAGATGTAAGAGGGACAAGGCCGAATCGACTTCTATCAAAGCATTGCGTCTCGATCACGTCCGCGCGTGGATCGATCGGTCCGAGAAGCTTCGCGCTTCGCAACGCTCGCGGGCTTTGATCGTAGCCACGATCGAGGAATCAACGGGAAAGAGGATGAACGAGCAGCTCGCGGTACGCGAAAAGAGGAGCTTAAGATTCGACGAGGGAAAAGTGGAAGGAGGAATAAAGGAGGATGGGCACAATGAGAATCGCAAGCTGCAGAACAGGAATAGAAGCTGGAGCAGGAACCAGCGCGGAGGGAAAAGGAACGAGAGGGAAACGGCTGACCTCTCGAACGACAATGAGACTCCGCGCGCGAATACAGAGGGAGGGAGGCGAGGGGGAACGCCGCGATATGCCGTGATGGAGGGCAACATCTGCCGCAGCCTCTGCATACCTCCTATTACTTCCGCGGCTCGTGGTGCGCCCTTTCCTTTCGCACGGAAGGAAGGAAAAGACAAAACGCGGACGCGTGTCGCGCGGCCGAGGCAGCTGCCCGGCCGACCGAGGTTTCTTTGTTCGATACCCGAGTAAACAGCGAGGCGGGAATCCGTTCGATAATCGTTTATTAAGGAGCATCGCTGGCCCGAGCCG